AATCATTTTTGTTGCCCTCCACTGGACTCTTTCCAATTTTTCCACATCCTTCTTGTAGTGTGGTGCCCAAAACTGGACACAGTATTCCAGATGAGGCCTCACCAATGCCGGATAGAGGGGAATGTTCACGTCCCTCAATCTGCTGGCAATGCTCCTACTTATACAGCTCAAAATGCCGTTAGCCTTCTTGGCAACAAGGGCACACTGTTGACTCATATCCAGCTTCTCATCCACTGTAACCCCTAGGTCCTTTTCTGTAGAACTGCTGCCTAGCCACTCGGTCCCTAGTCTGTAGCAGTGCATGGGATTCTTCTGTCCTAGTGCAGGACTCTGCACTTGTCCTTGTTGAACCTCATCAGATTTCTTTTGGCCCAATCCTCTAATTTGTCTAGGTCCCTCTGTATCCTATCCCTACCCTCCAGCACATCTACCACTCCTCCCAATTTAGTGTCATCTGCAAACTTGCTGTCGGTGCAATCCACGCCATCCTCTAGATCATTAATGAAGATATTGAACACAACCTGCCCCAGGACAACCCTTGGGGCACTCTGCTTGATACCGTCTGCCAACTAGACATGGAGCCATTGATCACTACCCATTGAGCCCGATGATCTAGCCAGCTTTCTATCCACTTTATAGTCCATTCATCCAGCCCATACTACTTTAACTTGCTGCCAAGAATACTGTGAGAGACCGTATCAAAAGCTCTGCTAAAATCAAATAACACATCCACTGCTTTCCCCTCATCCACAGAGCCAGTTATCTCGTCATAGGAGGCTATTAGGTTAGTCAGACATGACTTGCCCTGGGTGAATCCATGCTGACTGTTCCTGATCACTCTCCTCTAAGTGCTTCAGAATTGATTCCTTTAGGACATGCCCCATGATTTTTCCAGGGACTGAGGTGAGGCTGACTGGCCTGTAGTTCCCCAGATCCTCCTTCTTCCCTTTTTTAAAGATGGTCACTACATTAGCCTTTTTCCAGTCATCTGGGACCTCCCCCGATCGCCATGAATTTTCAAAGATAATGGGCAATGGCTTTGCAATCACATCCGCCAACTCCTTTAGCACCCTAGAATGCAATGCATCTGGCCCATGGACTTGTGCTCATCTAGCTTTTCTAAATAGTCCTGAACCACTTGTGACAGGGTACCCCATAAGGCTTTATGGGGGGTGCTCATAAATGTATGTATGATATAACTGGAATAGGGTTTTGCTACATATGCCATGTAACATATCTATGTAAAGGTTATGATCTACTGGTTATGTTCATCCTAGTTGTATGCAGGCACCATTTGTGTGTTCAAAGTTATGAACATTGGCTGTATAATTGCTTGATTTCTAAGTAGCCTTAGTTAGAACATTTGGTCACTTCTTGGAAGCACTTAACAGACAAAAGAGCTTGGAAGACTCCAATCCACATAAGAAGTCTACCTGAGGACGTTCAAGGTAGCATGTGGGTAATGGCTGCTACCTGCAAGTCCTGAGTCATGCATGGGCATGTGACTTGCCCATGTGATTCCAATCTCCATTTTGTGACTGGATTCTACACAGGGTGAGGAGAGGGTCTCCACCCACAAGAGAAAGTCTATTTAAACCCCTGGGAGACCCCTCTATTTTGTCTTCAGCTGGCTAAAGAAGGAGCCTCTCCACTCCCCCCAGGATACTTGAAGGAAACTGGAACAAAGGACAGTAACTACAGGGGGTGTGAGTGATTGCTGGACCCAGGCTAAAAGGAGATTAGCCTATAAAAGGGAGCATTCTGGAACTGGCGAGGACCTTATCTGCATTTAGTTTGATTAGACATAGATTTGTGCATTTTATTTTATTTTGCTTGGTGACTTACTTTGTTCTGTCTGTTACTACTTGGAACCCTTAAATCCTACTTTCTGTATTTAATAAAATCACTTTTTCCTTATTAATTAACTCAGAGTATGTATTAATACCTGGAGGAGCAAACTACTGTGCATCTCTCTCTATCAGTGTTATAGAGGGCAAACAATTTATGAGTTTATCCTGCATAAGTTATATACAGGGTAAAACGGATTTATTGGGGTTTAGACCCCATTGAGAGTTGGGCATCTGAGTGCTAAAGACAAGCACACTTCTGTGAGCGGTTTTCAGGTAAACCTGCAGCTTTGGGGCAAATAATTCAGACCCTGGGTCTGTGTTGGAGAAGACGGGAGTGTCTGGCTCTGCAAGACAGGGTGCTGGAGTCCTGAGCTGGCAGGGAAAACAGGAATAGAAGTAGTCTTGGCACATCAGTTGGCAGCTCCCAAGGGGGTTTCTGTGATCCAACCCATCACACCACTTCTTTCTCCACGGAGGGCTGCTCACCTCCTCCCCATACTGTGCTGCCCAGTGCAGTAGTCTGGGATCTGACCTTGTTCATGAAGACAGAGGCAAAAAATAGCATTAAGTACATTAGCTTTTTCCACATCCTCTGTCACTAGGTTGCCTCCCTCATTCCTTGACCTTCTTCTTGTTGCTAACACACCTGAAGAAACACTTCTCGTTACTCTTAATATCCTTGCTAGCTGCAACTCCAAGTGTGATTTGGCCTTCCTGATTTCACTCCTGCATGCATGAGCAATATTTTTATACTCCTCCCTGGTCATTTGTCCAATTGTCCACTTCTTTTAAGCTTCTTTTTTGTGTTTAAGATCAGCAAGGATTTCACTGTTAAGCCAAGCTGGTCATCTGCCATATTCACTATTCTTTCTACACATCGGGATGGTTTGTTTCTGCAACCTCAATAAGGATTCTACATAGTTTCTTGGTTAGAGCTTCTATTCAGCAATGGGGAGTGCAAATGTATATTTTTACAGTAAAGCCCAGACTACACATAGAAGCTGCAACAATTTTAATTGGTTTAGAAATCTATAGTTTAATCTGTACAACCCCTCTGCATAGATGCTCTGAAACTGGTTTAAAAGTGACATAAGTCCACACAAAGGGGTTGCACCAATTTAACTAAATTAATTTCAAGACCAAGTTAGTTAAATTGGTGAAATTTCTGTGCCACGACAATGTGACACTCTACACCCCAGGTGAGCGCCCTGTAACCCCCATATTCATTATTTGTATATAATTGTGATATTGCATATAAAGCATGCCATGTGAGGTATCAGGGGAAAGAACAATGGCTTTCAGCAGATCCATAACCTATCCAAATATGTATATCATTAATGCATATGAAGTTATGAAATTGTGTTGTATGGTTGTCACTAAGATATGCTGTGAGTTGGGGAATTGCCCAGATATTAGATCCCCACAGACAAGGACAAGGGAGCTAACCAAGGCCTGGGCGGATGTCAAACAATCATCAACAGGTTACAATTCAATGACTTACTTGCACAAGGCCTCACCAGGGGAATTGCTCAACCTTACCTAGTGGTGACTCAGCAATGTCCACCAGACATGCCTTGACTTAGTCCATCCATGTGTTTGGAGAACATAAGAGTATAAAACAGAACACAGGGGCCCAATGCTTTGCCTTTGCTCCTCCCCCAACCTACGTTGCAAGCAACAAGGACACTCAGAAGACTGAAGACTCCAACAGAGGAGACTGGCCCAGATTTCAAGGGTGAAACCTGCGAACTATGATCTGCAATATCCAGTGAGGTGAGAAAAAACTGTTTAATCTAGATGTTGTCCAGTCTAATAGGGTTGAGAGTTTAGGCTGTGTGCTTATATTTTATTTTATTTTGGTAACCACTCTGACTTTCTGTAATCAATAAACTCGTTTTACAGTTTATCTTTATAAGTGAGTTTGCCTGAAGTGTTTGGTAAATCTGCTCAGGTTCACAAAGGCTGGTGTATATCCACCTTCCATTGATTAAGTGGTGAACCAATTAATAAACTTGCACTGCTCGTCTTGAGCAGTGCAAGATGGTATATTCCTGAGGTACAAGGCTGGGACCTGGGGAGATTTGGCTGGTGCCTTTCTCTGTATGATTCATGAGTGACTCTGGGAGAATTCATGCAAACTAGCTGGGTGTGAGGCTCCACTTATGGTTGTTTTGAGTGATAACAGCCCCAGGAGGGGTTTGCTGCTTGTAACTAGCAAAGCATTGTGAGAGACAGCCCAGGCTGGAAAGTTAAGGGAGCACAGCGGTCCCACAGTCCCAGGCTGCACCTCTGGGATCCCGTCACAGACAGAAAACTGTTTAGCACTAAGTCACATATTACAAGCTTTATTTTATTTTTTTTAAAAAAGAACACTGAGTAAGTAAATGGGCAGAGTATTTCATTTAACATACTTGCTTTTAAAGTCTATTTAAATGCTGAAATTATAGTATTCTATGAGTGTTTTATTAAATGCATAAACACAGAAATACAAACTGGATATACCTGGAGGCTGAACATCCTCTTGAACAATACCAGATCGATTTGTTGCCTGGTCCTTCCCTGGTAAACACAACAAACAGTAAAATCACACAGAAAAGAAACACCGTAGCTAACAAAATGCTATGAATCAGAAAGCCAGCAAAAAAAAAAATCTGCATGGGATAGTCTGATATGCTGGTGAACAGCAGTCTGCTCAGCAAAAATATAATAATCACACAGGATGAAAGCTTGCATCTTACACCAATAAACAGCAAGACAATTTTTGGATATATAACCAGACCAAAAAGAGATAATGTGAAAGGAAGGAGTACCTGTGTTTCTAGAATATAGTGTCAGCTATTGCCAAAAGGTGATTTTAGGGTACACAACACCTTAATGGCAGATAAAATCCAACACTGATAAGTGCAAAATAATGCACATTGGAAAAACTATACATACAAAATGATGGGATCTAAATTAGTTATCACTCAAGAGGGTGATCTTGGAGTAATTGTGGATAGTTTTCTGAAAACATCTGTTCAATGTGCAGCAGCAGACAAAAAAGCTAATAGAATGTTAGACACCGCCAGAAAAGGGATAGATAATAAAACAGAAAATATCATGCCACCATATAAATACATGGTACACCCACACCTTGAATACTGCCTGCAGATCTGGTCGCCCCATCTCACAAAAGATGTTAGAATTGTAAATGGTACAGAAAAGGGCAACAAAAATGATTAGGTATATGGAACAACTTCCATATGAGGTGAAATTAAAAAAAAGACTGGAACTGTTCACCTTAGAAAAGAGACTACTAAAGGGAGAATATGATAGAGATCTATAAAATCACGAATGGTGTGGAGAAAATGAATATGGAAGTGTTATTTATCCCTTCACATAACACAAGAACCAAGGGTCACCCACTGAAATTAATAGGCGGACGAGTTTAAAACAAAAAGGAAGTACTTCTTCACACAGCACACAGTCAACCTGTGGAACTCACTGCCATGGGATCTTGTGAAGGCCAAAAGTATAACTGGGTTCAAAAAGCAATCTGATTCTCATGAAGGATTCTCACTGATGGCTGTTAGCCAAGATGATCTGGACACAACCCCATACTCCGAATGTCTCTAAACATCCAAATGCCAGGATCTGGGACTGGACAATGGGATGGATAACTTGATAATTGCCCTGTTCTGTTCATTCCCTCTGAAGCATCTGGCACCGGTCACTGTTGGAAAAACAAGATACTGGGCTAGATGGAACATTGGTCTGACCCAGTATGGCCGTTTTTACAAAATGGGAGTGTGGTTAGCACATTTTGGGTGCTATTGTAATATGATATTATAATAATGCATCTTCTTATAGACAGGGCTGATAGCACTAAACATCATTAAGTTTCCCTGACACTTCCCAACAGAAGAATCTGTTTGCAATAGCTTTTAACTTTAACCATTTGAGTTGAAAAGTTCCCTTCCAGGAGTCTGCCTCAGGCTTCCTCCCTCCCCAGGAGGGAGGGAGAGAAACTGTGACAGAGTTGGAGGAGGAGATTGGCCCTTGTTGGCCAAAGAGACTAGAAATTGGAACTAATGAGACAGACCTATGGAAGGAGCAGGCTGGGAGCTGTGGGGGGAGAGGGGAGGGAAATGTCACTAGAATCAGATGAGGAGCTGGGAGATATACATTTTGATACAGTCTATTGACAAGGGGGAGTGAATTAAGATTGCACAGGCAACCTTAATTCTGGAATTTCCAAACTTTTGAGTGCTTGACTTTGTAACCTTAATGATATTCTTTTAGCATAGTGTTTTGTGTGTAATTTATATTTAAACTGCATTGTAAGGAGGAACAGGATATAGAGAAGAATGATCAGTTTTTGATTGGAAATAGAACAGAAACTGTATCTTTGTGGAAAGCTTCAGTTTGAGGAAGTGGAGCTTCCCTAACAGACTGTAGGTGCTTACCAATTAGTATCAGAGGGGTAGCCGTGTTAGTCTGAATCTGTAAAAAGCAACAGAGGGTCCTGTGGCACCTTTAAGACTAACAGAAGTATTGGGAGCATAAGCTTTCGTGGGTAAGAACCTCACTTCTTCAGATGCAAGTAATGGAAATCTCCAGAGGCAGGTATAAATCAGTATGGAGATAACGAGGTTAGTTCAATCAGGGAGGGGGAGGTGCTCTGCTAGCAGTCGAGGTGTGAACACCCAAGGAGGGGAAACTGCTTCTGTAGTAGGATAGCCATTCACAGTCTTTGGTTAATTCTGATCTGATGGTGTCAAATTTGCAAATGAACTGGAGCTCAGCAGTTTCTCTTTGGAGTCTGGTCCTGAAGTTTTTTTTGCTGTAAGATGGCTACCTTTACATCTGCTATTGTGTGGCCAGGGAGGTTGAAGTGTTCTCCTACAGGTTTTTGTATATTGCCATTCCTGATATCTGACTTGTGTCCATTTATCCTCTTGCGTAGTGAGCTGATCACAGGACCTAACCAGATCAGCTACAACATCACCAGCTCATTCACCTGCACGTCCGCCAATGTTATATATGCCATCATATGCCAGCAATGCCCCTCTGCTATGTACATTGGCCAAACTGGACAGTCACTAGGCATAACTGTACGTAATTGGCATTGACCTTTCCTTTCCCCTTCTCTTGATTCCCCCATTCACTGTCACATCAAACTCAGACTCTTTAGATATAGGTCCATATCCGTAGTTGTTTCTGTGAGGGGACAGTACATTTTGGGAACTTGAAAAAGTAATTACAACTGCATGGATGTGAGAGATTTAAGTAATGGGAAACCATCAACTTGAAGTTTAGGCATTTTTTTAAAATAAAGGCGTTTTAGGCACTGGAGGTACAAC